CTATGTTGCCAAGGTCCACTTCTCCAGTATACCTCATCTCGCCGCAATATGACCAGTTGTTTTGTATCGTTGGGATCCATTCCCAGTGTAAAAGAGCCAGATGCAGGTGACTGGTAACTTCTCTTTGATGTCAAAGTCCAACTCAACCCAGTTTTCAGGTTAAATCCTAGTTTCATGATGATCAAAACTTTGCCATAAATCCCCCTTCACAGATCCATCTGAATTCAGCTGCTGCAGTACAAAGTTGCCATCGTCCCGTAGGGTGGCATGCGCCTGAATTGGAGGTCTAGTTGGATACAAGGCAATGAACTCTCTCTCACCAGATAAAATCTGCAGGCATCCATTGTGGTTGATTGAGAGAATTCCAGAACTGTTGAAGATTGGGTTGTTCCGGTTTGCAATCCAAACTGGATCCTGAACTCCGTTAACTTCATAATTGGAGCTGTGATCATTATACCAAATTCCTAAGAAAGATTTATCTGAATCTTTGGAAAACCGGAAGAATCCTAAACTGAAGCGACCGTTTGATGAGTTCAGCAGCTCCCCATATCTGAGCTGTTTGCCTTGCTCTAAAGTATTAGTCGTAGAACAAGCAGGAATCAGCAAACGTGAAAGACAGAGAAGAACGAGTGATCTGCCCCTGCCATCCATTGTTCCCAAACTTGTAGATTACTATGTTCATTTACAATAAGAAGATTGAATCTTTAAACTAGCTAGCGATCGACGTGGGGCCTGGATTAGTCGATGCTAGCTTCCTTCTTCTGCAACGTGACAGCGACGGATTGAATGTTCAGACTTCAGACTTAGAAATTGAACAATCAAGAGCCAACCGGGCCTGTGGCCAAATTGGTTGGCCCCAACCTTTAGGGCTTAGGTAAGGCGGAGGTCAGGACTTCGAGCACTGCCACCGCCGTTAACTCCATCAACTTGCGGCCTAATGGTCGTGCGCCTCAAATGAGAGGTGGAACATTCACTTTTTTGAAAAAATTTCAGTTGCTAACAAACTAACTCTATTAACTTCCTAACCATTTACCTGGTCAAAAAAAAAAAAAAAATTGAACAATCAAGAGTATCTCCAAAATCAAAATTTCGATAGCGAAAAAAGAAAGAGGAAACTAAGTTTCTTTACTCGTGCATTCAAAGGATCAAACCCCAACACTGTCACCGAAGTTTGACTCTTCCCATGGAACTGCAATCGCATCTTTGACTAGTAGCCCACAAGAGAAAGAAGAGAATTTCAATCTGTGTTTAGAATTGTCCCTAAAGATGTCATAATGGTTACGTTAAAAGATTCAACGGAACAAACGGTTAAATTATTAATTAATTAAAAAATAAAAATAATATGTATTTTTTAAGAAGCTTGGAGAATAATTAATTAAGTTATTGATAAAAAGATATTTTCTCATTTATGTATAGATATGATTTAAACCCTTATTTATCTTATTATCCCTCTTCTAGAAAATTTTAAATTTATTTATTTATTTACTTATCTCATAAATTTTTAAAAAATATAATTAAGGAAAAAGTAAATGCTAGTCTTGCTTGAAATAATTTCAAATTCAAATTTTAATTTTAGTTTTTTTTTATTTTATTGATAAATCTAATTTATTTATTTATTTTAATATGTTGCAAATTTGCAGAGGAGGGGATAAGGATAAACCCCATGTCCCTATATTGGTGATGCGCTAGTACTCCTGGTGGACCAAATTTTTTTAGTTAGTGATGCATCAAGATGTTTCAAATTCTAGAAAAACCCACTAAATTTTAGATTTACAACATGAAACTTTTTAAAAATAAAAATGAAAATTTCACAAAAAAATAATTTCTTTAATTTTTCATGCATAAAAAAGTTTCCATTGCTAAATTTTGGGTCCATTCACGAAGATTGAAAGATAGAATTGAATCTTTAAAATATCTAGTCAAGACTGGCTAGCTGGCTAGCTCAGCAATGGGACAGGGAGAGGTTGATTGGTCAAATTTTACTTTTCAATTAGAGTTTATTATTTTATAATTTAATTTATAATAATAAAATAAAAATATTTAAATAATAAAAGAACCAACTTGTAAGGGTAGAACTATGTCCATTCATAATGAGAAAAATAAATCTTTAAACTAGTCAGCAGTCGAAGTGGGGCCTGGATTAATCGGGGTTTACATTGTTTTTTCTGCAAGGTAACAGTCACTGATTGAATGTTTAGATTCTAAATTTAAAAACTAAATAATAGAGTCTAAAATTAAAAAATTGATAGTGAAAAGAAAGCGAGAAAAGTAAACCTTTTAATTTTAATTTGTCATGCATCAAAAAGTTTTAAAACCAAACGACTCGCTAAATTTTAGATTTTCGTCAAAGAAGATGTAGGTCTTTAACAGTTTTATATTCTCAAGTATTTTTTATGAATTCTATTTTTTTGAGATAAGACGCAGAAATAATGCCTATTTCATTATCAATATTGCCGGCGTTAGAACTCCAATCAATGGAAGGATGATGGTTGATTTTTTTTGGTTTAAGTACCATTTTAGTCCCTCAACTTTTCACTTTAGTATCAAAATTGTCCTTCAGCTTTAAAAAGTACCAAAATTATCTTCAAATTTTCATTTTTGGTACCAAAATTGTCATTCCGTCAGTTAAATGACAGATGGCACGTTAAAATACCACAAAATCATTTCTTTTTTTTGCTTGACTAATGATATGGAAAAAAAAAACACAGTTGCCTATCATTTTTAATGAGTTGGCATTTTTATTTAATTTAAAAATTTTGATATCTTTTTTTTCCATCTACGTCATCTCTTCTTCTTCTTTCACTTTCTCTCTCCTTTACCTTTCCTTTTCCCTTGCCTCTGCAAACCCTAAAGCTTGAAGCTTAGCATCATCGAGTCTAGTTTGGGTCATAATACATTAAAGATGTGTTGAAATTTTGTAGTTATTTTCAATACCTACTATATTTGTTGTGATTATGGTGGAAAATCTTTCAACTTTAACCTTTTTTTTTTTTTTTCTTTCTGGAATTTTGAATTTGTGTTTCTATTTAGTTTGGTTTAAGTGTGTTTGAATTGTGGATTTTGCTATCACCGCCACACTTCTACACCTCAACAAAACCCACGAAACCAACACCCACACCATTGACCATGGCTGGTGTTGGGATAGGCCCAACACCCAAACAGGGCTGTGTGAAAAGGGCCTAGGCTACCACCCATTAGCCCAAGCTGAAGGAACATCAGTACAAGCACACCGACGTGACCCATGCCACGTGGGTCAAGGGGATGCTTACACGTGCAGATGTATGTCAGCACCAAGGGGCTATAAATACCCCCCAACTACCTCCGATGAAGGTAATTAATCTCTACGCTTCTCTCTCTGCAATTACTCCTTGAGAGCTTCTCTCTCTAGAACATTGAGTATTGCTGACTTGGGCGTCGGAGTGTTTTCCCCGAGGAAACAACCTCGGGATTTTCAGGTGTGGAAGCAGCTAAGGACTTCAACAGTGTTGGATTGTGAAGCTGCCGAAACAGCTGGCAAAAGGTCACCTACGCCAAGAGGCAGCGGAAGCCCAAGCCGAATGCAGATGTGGGAGATGCAGTTCAGGTGGCGATGATGACAAGGATGAGGATGGCAGTCTTAAAGATTTGAAGGAGAACGAAAATGCAGAAGAAGTTAAGAAGTTGAAGCTGAATAAACCGAACCCAAGGTCAGTGACGTGGAGGTCGCCGCCAAGGTCGATTCACCATAGATCCAAATATTCATGGGTACCTCTAATTTGAGTTATCAAGGGAGAACCCATACAGATCTGGAAGGAAAAAGTGGAGGAAGAAGAAAAGGGGGAGAGAAAGAAGAAGAAAAAGGTAGGAGGAAGGGGGAAGAGGAGGAAGAAGGTTGGGAAAGAGGAAGGGGCGGTGGGATGAGAGAGAGGAAGGGAGGAAGAAGAAGAAGAATAATGCAATAATAAATGATGTGGATTTTTATTTAAATAGAAAAAAAAAACACATGGAAAAAAAAAAGCCATCTCATCACCTTTTGTATGGTGTGTTATTCCACCTAATTATTATTTTTATAAAAATGTGATTTGTTGGCATTTTAACGTGCCACCTGTCATTTAACTGACATAATGATCATTTTGGTACAAAAATGAAAGTTTGAGAATAATTTTGGTACTTTTTAAAGTTGAGGGACAATTTTGATATCAAAATGAAAAGTTGAGGGACTAAAATGGTACTTAAACCTTTTTTTTTTGTAAAATTGAAGAGTTATTATAAATTTTTTTAAATAAAGAGATAATAGTAATTCTTTTTATAAAGTTTAAGAATTATCGATGATATTAAGCCCTTCATATATTGAAGGTTAAGTTTTTATTAAATAAAAAGGACGGTGAAGTTTTATTTTTTAATATAAATTAATTTTTAAAAAATTCATTATTTAAAAATAAAAAAATAAAAAAATATTTATTAATTAAATACAAAAGATACTTAAATATATGTACATAAAAAAAGTGTAGTAAACGTCGTTTGAGAGTGTTTGCCACGCTTTGAAACTAAGCATCTACTTGGGTTTTGACGCCAGTCAAAAAAAGAGTAAGGCCAACTTTCAGATTTTCCACTTAGCCAAAAGTAGGAATGACTTTGAGTCATCTTAAGCATGCTCTCTTCTGTCACTTTGCATTCCCCAAAAATGGCTGCATTTCTTGCTGACCAGATTGACCAGACAACTGCATGCCATACTACCTTCCATCCTTTCTTGTTTCTAGCCGCCCACAAATGTTGAATGAAAGCCTTCCCTACAGTTAGTGTGCACGACATAACAGATACCCCACCATTCCCTACAGTTAAAAATAAAAATCTTTAATTGCACGTTTTGGATGGGAGAAGAAAGGAAGAAAAGGGAGAGGGAATTTTATTTTTCCATTCTCTTCTCTTTTTATTTTTATTTAAATAAATAAATAAATTTAAAATAAAATAAAATAAAATAAGTGTTGTTCAACTTGTATTTTAAGGTGAGGTTAAGAGTTTTGAAAAAATAAAAAATAAAAAATAATTAATTTATCAATTATTTAATTATTTTTAT